AATGAGACCCCAAATAATAATAATAATAAAAGACTCACCTGTCACTACCAGGAGCAGAGATCCTTGACCTTTTATGTAATCACTACCAGAGCCTTTGTACGTTGAGTACAAACACCAGTACGGTCCCATGTCTTCCACAGACAAGTTTTTAATGAGAATTTGCACATTAGGGAAAGTTCCATGTGTCTGAATTCTTGAAGTCATGTTTGGACTAATAACAATTTTAGAGGGGTTGATTTTTGATGTGAAAATGATCGAAGTCTCTTCAAGACCCCCCTTTACATCCAGGTGTTCCTGACCAGAGGAGTCTTTGCACTGGATAGTGATAGAATTTCCAACCTTTCTCCACTCCACTTTATATTTTTCTGCATGCAAAAGATACAAAACAAATGAATATTGGATCTTCGCCAACAGTACAGGTCGTTGTTGTCTTTAAACTTGTCTCAGCCCTACCTGCCGCAGCCAGAGCTGCAAAGAAGAGACAAAGGAAGGTTGCAGTCATCAGCCAGACAGCAGACATGTTGACAAGTTTCACCCTCCGTTCTGACTTCTCAGAAGGAAATGAGCATTTGTCTTCAACCACAGTCTATAACATGACAGCTCAAAGCTGCACACGACCTACACTGTGTTGTTTGAAGTGGGCGTCGACACACGAGTTTGGCATCTTTTTAAAACACACTTTATTTTGAGAATAATCTGGCATAGGAGGTGGCAAAGATTATGAAGAGGCTCAGCTAATGCTAAAATGAAAGTAAAAATGATGGAATTTTATTATTTTTTTCATACAGGGACAACAGATATGATCTAGTACAAGAAACATGAACAACAAGGATCTGAAATGTGATAAAAGAAGTGTGAATATTTTATCTACATACACTGAGGGAAGTTGTTATGACAAAAGCATTTGTGAGAAACCAGATTTTTAGAAAGTGAATTTAATCAAAAAGGGGGAAAAAATAAAGCAAAACAGAACAGGAGATCAGTTACAAAAGTAAACCTAATGACTAAAATTAAGGGGAAAAAAACCATAAATACCTTGTCAACTTGTACAGATTGTCCATAAATTACACTGATTTCTCCCCATTTTGCAGGTATACAGACACACAGGGCAATCGCACAGATTTTTTTTCTCAAAAACTCAGCTTCAAATTTATTTTACATATCTGCAGCAAGAATAAAATATAAGAAAAAAGATTACTTAATTTTTTGCTGGGTAAACATTTTTTGAACAGGCTGAAATGTTCACAATCAGAAGGGGCCTTTTGTGGAGTTCTTTCACTGACCTCTTGTGGCAGCTGAGCAAACATGTGCTTCAATGCTTCAAACCAAACCTTAGTTATGAGTAAAATACAGACATTTGCATGCTTTTTTAAAATGTTTTTTATCTGCACTCCATAAATATCAATATTTTATTCTATATGCGTATAAAAATGTGTTCAAAAACTTCAATTAACAACCGTGAATGTTTAAAACATAAATAAAAAAATTGGGAAAAAATATTTTCGTACTGGTAACATCTAATTTTTGATTCTTTTTACTGTGCATTTTACATTACATTTAAAAAATGACCAACGCTTTTATGTGTGGATAAAAGGTTAGGACCTGTGTTGTTTTGTTGTTGTGGTCCTTTGTCAAGTTTATTCCCATTTTTGTTTGTTTATGATCTTTCAGTGTTTTGGGATCCTTGTTGTGTTCTTTTCTTGTGTTTTACTTTGTGTCACTTTCTTCTCAGTCAGTCAGCCACACCCACCTGTCCCTCACCAGTTTCACCAGTTCACAGCTGCAGCCACTCCACTCATCAGACTCAGTCTTTTTAGACCTTTTAGTTAATTTATGGTTGAAATTCCTGCTTTATTTAAGATGTGGTTCAAAAATAGGAAACATGTCCATATTTTAGGAAAAGAAGAATGTCTTCAACCTTAGACAGATGAATCATAAAAATAAGACTCAGTACCATAAAAACATGATTATAAAGCTTATAAATGATAAATGGACTGTACCTCATTTACAAAGCTAACATATACAAATCATGAAAACTAATGCTAATCACATTCATACACTGATGGGACRCACAACAGAGGCATTAAGAGTAAAGTGTCTTGCCCAAGGACACAACAACTGAGACAGCTGGAACAGGGAATTGAACTGGCAACCTACTGGTTCCAGGATGACTCCCCTAAACAGAATTTAATCCTAAATATCAGCTGCAAAAACATCTTTAATACAACAGAGCTRTGCACATTTTGGCAAATATATAAAAGAATATTAACACAATTTGAAAAGACAGATAAGTCCTCTCAAAGGTTTTTTAATGAGTTTCAGTAAATTTTTTTGCTAAATGTRTAATCAGACGTTTAGTCATGCACAATCAGGGCCTTCCATTATATCAAAGGGACTCTTGACTTTTCCTATGATAAAAAAAAATTCTTTTTTAAATTGGCCTGAGTCAATCAATCAATAACCACAACAAAGAAGTGCATAAAATAATCAATAGACTAAACAAAATCTGCCATGATTTTTCTCCCACGGGGATTTTTCCAGAACGAGCTCATCTTCATCACAACAGCTCCCTTCCTCCAGTCTTATCCAGTTAGAGGAGTACAATATAAGCCACAGGGGACACTAAGAGGAGGGTCTTAATGCCTCTTTTGTTGCAACAGAAACAGTTTTGTCCATCTGCCAGCCGCTGCTTCCTGTTAAGGCCTCCTGATGGTGGGAGAGGCCTTACATGTTGTCTGTCTGCCACACAGGGGTTCATTAGTCTCCCAGGTCACACAGAGGGCAGGAAGACGTATGATTTATTTTATCGTCGCTTTATTTTCTCACTAACACTATAATAGCCATTATTTTGTACTTTTGTGCRTTCCTTTGGGAGAAACGTATCCTCCGGAGACGTCCACACAGTAACAGCTGAGTCAGCAGAAATGACTGGATGAATGTATTGATTAACTATTGGCACACAGCTCTGAGATGACTCATCTTTGCCTCCACCGCTCACATCCTCTTCCTCCCACCCTCCCCGGAGACAAACATGGCCTCATCTGGACTGCATGTGCTCATAATGGCTCTGTCAATAAACTGCAGTCACAGAAGAGCGGGGCTGATTAAACATGGATCACACATGTCCGCTTAATAACCTGGATTATCCTGTGTGCGGGGGAGGAAAAGGATAATCTCACATATTTGTTTGAAAGATTAGTCAGATTAAAAAAAAGACCGGTGGGGTGGGGGGGTAAACAAATGACTAAAACACAGGGTTACAACTAACCTTTACCTTCTTACTTATTGGCATATTTACAAGCATTTTATTTATATATATATGTCAAAAGTAAATTTATTGCATTAAAGACATATTAAATCTTATGTTATATTATATTTTATATAACTGAAATATGAAAGTTGAAGCATCTAATGTGCCACATAAATGAACTCTGTTAGTCTTACAGAGTTAGAGTTATGGGCAGAAATCTCAAGATTATTTTCTTCTTATGCTACCTTTCATTTAATTTGATGTTTTTTTTGTTGTATGTTAAATTTATGTTGTTTTGTTTTAAATGAATAAACTTTATAATAATAATAAATTTAATTTTTAGACCAGGTCTTGCATTTATTTACTGTTATCTATAGGTTAAATTTTTATTTAAACATAGCTATGAAGAGGAATGGATGTGTGTATCTGAAAAGGTTAATTAGAACGAAGCAGACTATTTAAAGTGATAGTTGTGATTTTTTTTGYAGTGGGGTTCAGTGGAGAGGTCATGAGCAGTTAACATCTTACCTGTTGTAGATACCTTTTCTTTGTTTGTTTTTGAGAAATGTTGTCAAGGTTGGAACAAGGAGCCAAAATAAATAAATAAAACAACTAATAAAACAAAGACGTAGAAACTAATGGAGAAGTGAACTGGTGGCAAAAATATATGTTAATATAAACACGTAAATTAAACACAGGGATCACAAATAAACCTAATTATAAAACAAAAATCCTGACAAATAGTTTCATTTTGATTGGACTGACAGGCTACTGGCTAGTCCTAGTGCAATAGAGTGAATTGTTAGAAAARGTAAATCTCAAATACTTTAAGATGTTAGATGCAAATGCTATTTTATAATTTTTACATAAATTTTTGCCCTACTATATTATTCTGATAATATAGTATATAATGCTGGAAGTGCTCCTGGATGCACAAGAGGTGCTACAGCTTGCTGCTGTTGCTGTTTGCCACCTCAAAAGGAACAGTGGTCGTCATCTGGCTGCCAGCAGGATCCCCCCCCTGCAGAAATAACACTGGCAGAAAACAAGTCTTTGAACGCACCATCACATCCTGGCACTTTTCCAAGACAGGAAGTTCTTTTCTTGGTTTGAGTGACACATATGTGCCTTTCTTGACAGATGACTGAAACACACCGCTGTTCCACAGTACTAATACAAACCCGCAGGTTCAAACCCTTACTCCAGAGCGCACACTGAAAATATGATTTATAGCCAGTGATGTGATGTTTAATTAGAAGATAAGATTTAATTAAACGTGTGAACAGTGAGAAAACAGGGAACAAAATGACCCTTTTGTTGTTTTACAAAGTGTTTTAAAAGATAACCTGAAGTCAGTGAAGATCAGTTTTAAAATAGTTAATCTGAAGAGGAGCTGCCTTCTAGGCTCTTATTGCTTCACAATAAGAGGATTACGGAGCGATCAAGTCAACAATACACAACCATTCACATCAGCACACTAAAGACAGCAGGACTTAACTCTAACTAGCTGTATTCTCGTAATTGTTCAGACTTGTCAGATTTATTTTTCTAGACAAGGCAGTTCTCAGGATGAGTTATTTTTTAAAAATGGATTAGCTTAATAAAAATGTAGCTTATACTACAGTATAACCCCATCAGAAGTTACAGAAATGTCCATGACGTGCTGGTTATTGTGTAACAAATATAAATCTGAGGAAAAATAACAAGAAAGGTTTTCAAAAACTCACGTTTTGTTCAGAATTTGTTCACAAACATTGGAGAGGCCTATTTTTTTCTGTCAAATCTCACCCAGTTTTCTGTAAAGTCTTAATCCCCTCTGAATTCTCATGTTACAAAAGCTAAACTCTTCAAGCAAATACCAAATAAGGCATCTGTGAACAGAGCTCTTAAACGTCACCTTCAATAGGTAACATTACGTCATGTGGATCAGCTTTCAGTTTTTAAAAACCCCAACCTTCAGAGCTAAAAAAAAAAGCTGCAACATCTTAAAAACAGAAATGCTTGAGCCAAATACCAAACATATGACGTTATAAAAAAGATTGGACTTTTTTTTTTTCTACTTACACAACTGGACGCAGCTACTATTATCAGTTTGGTGGGCAGACTTCCAGTCCAGAGCCTGTCTTTCCTCTCCACAGGCTTCATTTTACTAAACATAAATACTGTGAGACAGTCCGGATGCATTCTTGTACGTTTGTCTCTTCGGCAACAACCTTTTCTCTTTGAACTCTCAATAGTTATCTCTTAAGCTAAAATAAAGACAAAAAAGCAGCAGCAAATTCATATGAATCTTTATTGTAATTAGAAATCCACGCATCAAATCCTTTTTAATTATTATTATTTTGTTTGTTTTACCATTTACAACATGGGGAGAGTGAGGGAYGAGCTAAATGTCATGCCTTTCCCAGCAGGCGCAATGCACTACAGGATGGACATGAGAGGAGCGGGATGGACATGGGAGATACATAAAGTGCCATTGTCAACAGTTTTTTTTTTCTTTTTTTTAATAAAAAATAGGGATCAAACAAAAAGGGTTTGAGGGTGGAGTGAGAGGACATGACGGTCCGTGGACGTGACAGCACGAGTGCACAGGAAGGAGGAGGAGACGGTGGGATGTTGATGAGAAGGAAGAGACTGGAGGAGGGAGTTTTTCTTAAAAAATAAAAAAGCGTTTGGAAAAAGAAAACAAAAACAACAAAGTTTAAAGGAGTGTAGTCTCAACCCAGGATGAGGCTGGACTTGCCACCGGGAGGGTTTCTTCGACCGCCTGCTGCAGCGTTGGCACCTCCCGATGGGGCGGGGCCTTGTGACGTCTCCTTCTGCTCCTGCTCCTCCTCCACGCCGTCGGGACATTCTGCAGCTGCAACAACCACAACAAATCACTCCAGTGTGGCTGATAACCACATTAAATCACAGAATCCTAACTTTATCACAGCTGAACTTGAAAGCAGCAGCCGGTTGTTGTAGYTCCTCATCATTTTTGTGCACAAAACATTTGTTTGTACTTTAACATACTGTACAACAATGACAAAAAATGTCCCTTTGACCATCAAACAGTCTAAAATTAATCCCAATCTAACAATACCACAGTCCAATATTYTAAGTATAACAATATATAGTATAATGTGCAGCTATAAAGATATAAAACTTAATGAATTACTTTATGTCTAACACTGCTGTTGTACAAAAAAAAACTATAACTTTATTGTATGCCTTTTCAGATTTGTTGTTTGATCTAAAACACAGAGAAAAGCCAAAATGTCCTGATGCATCTCACCAGTCCAGGTAGAAAAATTTAAGTTGAATAGGTTCTCTGGACGGGTTCTTCTTTGTTGAAACCCAGACCAGTGGTCACTCAAGGAGTTTCAGAGAAACTGAGACGTTTATTCTCTAAACATGATGTCCCAGTGGCTTTCAAAGCCAAACACACATTACAGCAAAGACTGGTTCACCCGAAAGATCCGGTTCCCTAACCTGTCCTGAGGACCYACTCAAATATTTGTTTAGATCCAGTCTCCAATGAACTTTGAAGAAAGACAGACGTTTTTGCAGAATCTGGGCTGTGGCAACATTAATGCCAGCAGCGCTGCTGCTGGCACGGGCGGGGACTTTTTAAAATAAAACATTATAAATAAACATCTTCTGATTTCTTCYTAAAGTATCTTTTTATAGTGAGAAGCAAAGCACAGCTGGGCAGCAGAAAGAGCAGTGAACCATCTGTGACAACTGAACTAATTATAAGTTAATGAGCTTGGTGTCTTGGGTTGGCCATCGAGTGTTGAGTATTGATTGAAACTGGGACTAACGTTGGAATCRTTCGAATTGTAAACATTTGATTCCTAGTTCCAGTCCATCGACCGGAAAATGTTGCCGCTGAACAAAAGCTGCAGCTGAGCTGCCTGAACACCACCGAAGAATGTGCGAGTCTAAAATGTCTCATACCAACACTGAGGCAGCTAACAAGTTATAGACCATAAAACTGTGACATCAGCTCAGTAACATGTTAAAGTTCCTGCAGCATCACACACTGGACTAGCCTGGTAAAAACCAGACCCTGTCCTTCACTTTGCTTTGTACAAGGGTCTGGACTCGCTGCTATAGAGAAGTGATTCTTGCTGGAGGCGTGGCCTCTGTGTCGCTGTGACAGAGGCTAAGCTAAGAAGCTAACAGGAAATCTCGTGCGCTGTAAACAACCCTACTGAGAGGAGAAAAGTACCGAGTCGAACGAGACGACTGTAAATGAGAGCTGCTGTTTTGTCAGACAAATTTAATTTAATTTGGAAACCTTATCAACACAGACTGGCTTCATTCACTTCCTCCACTGCTGTGTGCTAAACTAACTAGCAGACACCGAGCAGAAAATCGATGTTGTTTAAAACTCCGCCTTCTGTTGCTGATTGGCCCAGGTAAAATAAACTACAAGCAGACTCTGCGCTGAAAATCAATGTTCTGTTCTCTGATTGGTTCGGCTAAAAATCTGCCAGCGAAATCCTTGTCTATGGGAGAAATCCCAGACGGAGCAGTGAAGGGAAACTAGAATTGAGYGGAGCTGCGTAGGAAGGCAAGGGCCAGGCTAACACTGGACATGTGTCAATGTGGTTTCATGAGGTTTTTTTTTTTTTTTTAAAGAAAACACTCTTGTAAACATGTAGACTGCAAAWCATGTCCATCACTAACCAGCCAAAAAGTCTTTTTGATCTTGTTTTGAGACTGATGTACTAAACAAGAGCAGAATATGTCGGATTATTAATTTTGTTAGCCTGGAGATTTTCCTTATTTCAAGAAGTCCATCATTAAGTACAATTGTCTCATTCCACTCTCAGATTATTTCATTTACTTTGAGTCTGAATCTTCTGAAACTAAGTGAAATAATCTGACAGAGCAGTAAGATACCTGTAATACCCCTGTGCAAAATAAAATCATAACACTTATATTCAGGTTCATAGGTTTCATACTGATATAGTGGCTGATAACAGYCCTGTCAGGAATTCTTATTGAAGTTCATAAAAAGTAAAACGTTCAATTTTAGAGACGTTACGATTATTTTCATCCAGAAAGAACTCTGGTTTTAAGAGTGTAAGACTTGGTTAGTGACCTCATGGAAACCATGCAAACTTTTTTTGGCCCTGCCTCTAGAAAGAATTGGAATCGTTAGGAACATGAATCCAAACAAGGAACCGGAATCGTTTAAATTCAAACGATGCCCAGCCCTGCCGGTGTCACACATATAACCGCCCAGCTCTGTGGGAAGTGGAGCCAGATGTTCAGACCTAACTGAGCATCAAAAACACTCCACTGTTGTTTCTCAACTGTTTACTTCTGGCTGAACCTCTCTGGGTGATACATGTTCTGCGTCTTATTAAAGCAGCCATTTTAAAGTTATGGTTTGTTAATGAACTGGAGTTCGTTATTTTTATTTTTTTTGCCAAGGTATAAACTTTGAAGTACTTAAAAGGTAGAAGAAAAAGCCGCTCTGTCACAAACCCACACCTGGACGTTAATAAAAGCTTTTCATACTAAAGCAAAGCCTGCCATTAAAGAACAGCTGCTTGACTCCAGATTACCACCCTCATCATGACGGGAAAWAAACCACATCAAAGACATCATGTGTTGTTGACTTAGAAAGGGAGAACRCATGTACTGTATGTTTCAAAGAAAGTCAGCAGAGACAAAACAACTCAATCCAATATTTGTAGGGGGCTGGGATGGTGAAAATGCCTGATCTGTTATAGAGCCTTTCATTGAGTCATGCACCTCTGTTTAGACACAGAAACTGAAGCCTTTTAGAAAAACAGCGGAAGAGCTTAAGAAACTCACCATCGTTTGCTTGTTCTTGTCCGTTCTCATCCTAAAATGTAAACAAGAGACAAGAATATCAGATTGAAGCACTCACTTAAGTCAGAAGAATAAGGTTTACAAAGCTGAAAAAATATGCAAAAACAAACTTCATCCTGCAGGAAACTGATTAAATAGATGGTTTTGTGCCATTCAGTTACAAGAATAAGCTTTTGACGCCCKCCGTTTGTTCAGAAATTGTCTTTTTCCTTCTCTTTTTTTTTACTGATGGAACCTGATTCTGTTTCACTGTTTCTTTATTAAAACTGTTTCCATGTCTGACAAAGAAGAGCAACACTCCTTTGGGATTATAGAGATCAGTGGATATTTTAAAAAAAAACCTGGATTGGTTTCAAATAGATGATCAAAATTTTCCACTGAACTGTTTGGAAATACACTTAATCTTCAACTGTGTGCTTTTCAGGCTGAACCAGGCWGTGGCTGTGTTATGGAAACAATAAATCAGATGTCAGGTACCTCTTGTCTCTGGTTCCAGATCATGGCGGCCCCGGAGTTGTGGATGGTGGTCAGTTCGGGCTGAGGGTTCTTGGGAAAAAGGAGAGGCTGCTGGCACCTCCTCAGTGGGGCTGACGGCTCCCCACACAGAGTTCCTGCGGCTGCACCAGCTGGGTGATTAAAAAAAAAAACGGCTTTAAAAACACGCAGACATCGTCTATTTACAACAACACTCAGACACATTGTTTTTCCCTTTTTAAAGAGGAAAAGGAGGGTAACTGATTGTGGTGATGTGATACAGGAAGCACTGATGACAAAACGTGAATAAGACTTCAAAGCAGCCGTCGTACCACACGAACACTAATCCACTTAGTGACAAAGCCAGACCTCTCTGACTCATGTGGCAACAATGTTCACAAACCGACTGACCAACACAGATTTGACAAAACATCAGCTTTATGAGGCCGAAATAATGCACGCCAAAAATCACTGGGAACCAAAAGGAAACATCACAAAATCCGCTTGAGCGGCTGCAACAGACCCAAAAAAAAAAAAAAAAAAAAAAACACGGTGGAACACTTCCAGTCAGACAAGCCGACTGCCAAAACTCACAAAATCCTCCAGCGCCTCAATTCTCCTTCAGCAGAAAGAGCATTAAAACCCTGCACTGGCTGGCTCTGAGGAGGAGACGGGCTGAGCTGACCCAAAGTCACATAAGGTAACGGCTATCGCCCAGAGGGCCGACATCATGTAGAGAAACAACGGCAGCTGTGGAGGCAGGGGGGGGGGGGCGCTGATGTTAATGGAGGGACGGGATTCGGCTCTGAGAGTGGATCCCTCAACAAGAGCTCCTTCATTATCGGCTCGATATTTCTGAGTCTAATCAGTTTACTGCCCAGTGAGCGACAAATATGAAAGCAGAGGGGATTAAACCAGATTGATGGGAGCACATAGAGATGCTTCATGTTATCATCAGCACGAAACATGGCCTTCTACTTAACTTTATGGATCTCATGGGTCTGAGGCATGGATGGTCTGAACACAGTGAGACAGGAAAGCAATTGTTTGCTGCTGGTAGTTATAGCTTCCTCTCTCATCATGTAGACAGAGGCTAAGGGCTCTTAAACATACCAATAAAATCCTGAACAACAGCCTGCCCAAAGAGTCCGACTGAATATAAATATGCTTTTGTATCAGCATTACATTTGCACAATCAATGACCTAACCCTGACTCACCCCTCTTTCAATTCTTGATTTATTCTAGCTCTTAGAAACAGATTGACCACTTTAACAGCACGAGCACAATGTACACACTATTAGAAATATATTTTCACTGGCACTAAAACCATAGTAATGTACATGTGAATATATTTTGTATGTTTTTATTGACCATTTTCCTTTGCAAATACAATAAATTACCATTACAACAAACAATGATATGTCTCAGTTAGTGTACTTGGGTCCATATTTGGTATTGCTGCTTTTCCCTAACAAACACTTAAATTTGCATTATCTAAATCTTACAGGCTTCAGACATAGTTTTACACACAGATATTTTAACATCGCATCTGTTTATGTAAAAGGAATGAACAAAAACTGAGGGTGTTATTGACTTCTGGAAGGGGTGTATCGAGACGTAGAAGAAAATTTTAACCACTACTCTTTGTGACTTCAAATTAAAGGCTGAGGAGTAGAGGGAGGCTCAGATGTTCAGGTAAAGTTACTGCTGCAAAAACATCTTATTAAACCACTTATTACTTTTTTCCCCCCTCCAATCAGTTTTTCATTCATTCATTTTTCCTTTCATTTTATTTTGATTGCATGATTTGTGTACTTTGTTCATTTGTGTTACAAATTAAATGAATAAAGAACTACTACTACTAGATCAACAGGATATGACACAGAAGACATTTTGGTAAAACAAATATCAAATTCATATAAATTAGTGAAAGTTATTTTGTGTTCGACTTGGATTATGTTTCCAGATTTTATGCATGCACGCAGTCATTTTAGAGACTACATATATACTAAAGTCTGAAGACCTAACCAGGTGTCACATGTTCCCCGATGTTTGAGACTTATTCTGTGCAAATAAAATGCATTTTTGTCAATTTATTCAGGAATCTGTACAACGCCGCGTGCCAGAGAAACAAGAGTTCACACAAAGGCCTCATGGAAAGGCACAACACTCGTAAACCACGCGATAGACCGTCATAATTCCACAATAAAATAACGCTCCCGTCCAGTTGTGTAAACTGAAGTGGGCCAAAGTCTGAGAGGCTCCTCCAAACTTGACACAGGCCCAATAGAAACAATGCGAGCAGGAAAGGGCTTTTACTATAATCAGCTGCTGGATATCGGAGGCTACAGAAACAATTTAGGTCAAATTCTAGTTTGTGAACACGCCCCAGAAAAAAAAACAATTTTCTACAATGTGTTCCGAGTGAAAATGTGCTTTTCGGAATCTCACTCCTACGACCTTTCAACTTAATGCAACAACGACGACCTAGATAATTAAATATTCAATCCTTAATTACAAGCAGTGAAGCCAAACTGCTCGAAACAGAAAGTAACGTTTGTACTAAACCGAGGAAAGTTTCAGCCAAACATTCTGGAAGGCAGTAATGTCAAATCACATTTAAGTCTGTGCGGTTATAAATTTGCAGTGACCTTGAAATCTCAGAGCCCTTTGCAGTTTCTCCCCCCTCTCTCTCCTCGCAGCTGCATTTGCTTCTCTCTCGCTGTCCAAGGCCGTGCATTTCACCAAGTGATTCATTTTTCCACAACCTATTCTTTCCACTGAAGACCGATCTTCTACCGCTATTTATCAAAGGCTAGTTTCAAATTACTATTATCCCAGCACTTCAGGGCTTTTTTGGCTGTTATACATGTGGGAAACCCAGTCAGACGACCGAAATGAGAACCTCTAAATAACCCTTCAGTTTGTATCTTTTCCACGCTCAAGTTAGAGGAATTAAATGTTCGGTCCTTTCTGCTTACTTAAACCTTCTGGCAGTTCGGTCTTTGCAAGACTTGGCATGCCCTGTATAGATATATCTCCCTGGTTCAAACCGTAGTTATCCTGTAAATGTAGTCCTGAAAGGTTTGATTTATGTGGCTCTGATTTGTTGCGTTAAAAATAAATAAATAAATAAAATAAAAAAAATCAACAAGCGTTAATGTCAGAGGAAGTTACTTGGCGGATTGTTCCTTCGATGAGCATGAGGGTCGTCAGGTTCTGCAAAGATGCTAGAGGCCATTTTGTTCTTGCGCTGTGGGGTCGTGTTGTCGTCTGCACCGAGGGAGAAGTTGGAGTCCCCACCCGGCGGTCGTAGAACCCTTACAAGAGAGGGGGAGACAGACAAACTGATTAGAATCTTGGTGGATTAAAACACATATTTTTTTACTGCGCTCTCATTTCAGGCCGAACAACAACACAAAAATAATCAATAATGAATAACACATAATAATATTCCCCACAGTATTTGAAGGTTTCTCCCTGCTCCACCCTAACCCTTTCATACCAAACACCAAAAGGCACACCAGCACAGCCTCCGCTTTCTAAGCCTCGCCTGTCAGCCCGTCAGACAGACAGTCGCAATCTCTGCCCTGCAGCTGACTCCCATCGCCTGTAATCACAGAGTTAGCGAGCTAGCTGCAGCCTCTCTTCAGCACAGATTCTTTTGCAGTGACACATGAAGGGGCTGGTGTGCGTTTCGGGAATCATTGCTGCGCTTTGGCTAAATGAATAACTCAGATGTGACGCTTCATTTGAACCTAATTTCATATAGGGGGGAAAAAAAGGAAGAAGTCTGAAACTTACAGATAMTATAGGTCAATATTCTGGAAGAGCACATAAAACCTATGCAGATGAGTGAATGAAAACAGGCTACTTTCTAGTCATTTATCAGAAGCTTAACACAAACAGCAGAGGGAGATTCTTCTACCCTGCTGTGCTGAAGGACAGTTGGAGTAGACGGCAGACCCCAGTGCGTTTGCAGAACCCCTCCCTTTTTATTTACAGCAAACTGCCCCCTCAGAGTCCCTGAAGCCACCAGCTGACACGTCCGAGCAGTTGTCCAAGGGCCAGGCGGGCGAGTCCAACAAACGGGCCAGAGCGCCTCGAAATACAAAGAAATCAACGACGACAGTCGCACCAGGACAGCCCAGACTGCACCGGCATGATTTTAATCCCTCAGGTTTCAGGGTCCATCACACAGGGCCGTGACAGTAATGTCTTAACCAGACTGCACCTCTTYCTGGCCAGAGGAAGGATGAGCTCATGGTTTCCACATGGACATGGGGGGAAAGATTTTAGCAACATTGCAGCAGATCCCACCCTAAAACGAAACGGCAAATGATATATTTTAAAAAAACAGTAGATATTTGGGAGCAGGAGGGCCTTTTTAGGTAATGAGAGGTGAAGATAAGTGATGCAGGAACTCCACAGTTAGAGATTGGTATGTCTGATAAGACATGGACCACGATGGCCTAGATTTCACCTTATCGTGGCTGAACTTGCTGCTTCGGGGATCTCTTTGTTCAGACARCAGCAGAAATGACCAACAGCTTTGAAAAAAAGGGGGGCTTTAAGAACCAAAAGCAAAAGAGCTAAGAAAAGATTTACAGGCTTACAGACCCCCACCCAAGCCCCTGCATCGACCTCCAACYGGGTAATGACTGACCGACATTTGACAGGCTCACAGCAAAATCTGACAGAACAAGATCTTCTCCAAAACTATCAAATCTGTGCAACTTTAAGATGCAGAGGAAGAAATATTATAAAACTCCTCTTTCTACTGCAGGAGGGGTTCAGATACGCATCATTTAACAGGAAGGAAAGGACTGCGTGCCTGGAGGACTGGTTTTATCATTAAATACAATAAATACATCAAATGAAATGCACATATTAGAAATGTAATAAGGTTTCYAACTTCACTTGCAGAGATAGTGATCAAACAAAGCTAACTCAATCACATGCTTAACATTACACAAGATCAGCTTGTAACTAACTACAAAAAAAGTTATTCTGTGGTCAAACTTTAGGAGCTAACACAAGAAAATGGGTTCTCCTGTTTTTACATCCACAAAAAWAGAGAAAATAAATATCTAGTTCTGGTCCACTCGCTGGCCAGAATTCCTCACGAGCTAACCCAACTTAGCTAACGGGTACGGAACTGAGACCCAACGAGATTAACTCAATTAACGAGACAGTTTAGCTCATTCCAGATAGATCCCCTCTACACCTCCAGAAGACCACACAAGACTGTCTTTCAACACAACCAGAAAAAAAAGAGGCGTTTGCTAGCTAAAAAAAATGTTTTCCCCCGCATCCCACTTCTTTTGTTCCTCCGTGAAAAGCTCCTCGTTCTTTACCTGGAACTGCTTTTAGTACCAGGGTCTATGCCTTGAAAGGTGGTTGTCGTTGTCATCTTTTTGGGAGTATTTCACYGTCTTGACGGTAGCGAAGAATCGGGCTAATTAGGAGAGAAAGGGGGGAGGAAAAAAAAGAAACTCCTCTCGCTCAGCGGAGAAAAGACGGGATGTAGACTCCACCCGATACAGAAAAAAAAAAAAAAAAACGAATACCAGATCCGCTGGTTCTGCGGTGCCACCACATGAGGCCCAACCCACCAGCAAATGCTGGGACCCGATTGGTCAGGACAGTGCACAGCTTCCCTCTGATTGGTCAGGTGAGCACCGAGCCTCACTCTGATTGGACAGTACCACATGGGTCAAATCTCTTGTTGGTGGTACTTCTCAGATTCAYGTCAGTGACCAGACACAGCCCACATCCCTGGGGCCATATTCTGCTACAATCCATCAACATTTATTATTGCAATCATTAATAAATAAAATGAGACTTTATATTACTTATAAAGCCTATATGGCATCTATTTGAGAAAATCTTGGGAAAAAAGTAACTTATTCTAAAAATATTTGCTGGATCAAAACCCAAATAAAAACTAGAACAAGTAAAAGTTTGGGAAAAACGACAACAGCTTTATTTTAACAAGCATTTTAATAGACAATACGAATGTGTATTTAACTGAAATATCCCTTTAGGCTTCCCAAAATTTGAAGTGGACAAGTAAAACGATTAAACATCCAGTACAATATAAAAAGTATATAAAATGAATATTTCTTTTAGACAATAACAGAGGCTAAATGATAACCTAGTCGTGTTCCCAAAGCGGGTGAGCTGCTCACAAAGTGACAGCAAGTCCCAAAACTGTCTAACTTGAGTTCAGACTTGGTGGATAGTTACCATGCTTAATATATGAATACTTTAGTGAGTCTCAGTAAATTAATTTTTTTAATTTACTTGCATCTTCAGAAGAAACCCTCAGAACTAGGATGGAAGCTCCTACACAATTACCACAATACAGCATGGACATTATAATGCAAGGCTGTATGGATGTAGATTATGTACAAAGAAAAGTAACAAGGGTGTGAATGAACATATTATACAGCATTTAAAACCTCTTCTGCATGGAAATCTGCTGAGACAGTCGATGCGTTGTAAAAAGGACCAGCCGCTGGGCGTCATGGGCTGGGGAAGTTGGAGGAAAACAGTGTCAAGGTGCGGTGCGGTCCTTTTAAATCAAGCCTCCTGTCTGTTGCTGAAACACGTCAATTGTGTCCTCATCTTCCATTTCCAGCTGTGAAGAGGGTGAGGAGATAAAAGCAAAAAGTCAGACGTCAAGAGGTTTCATTTCCGTGTCATGTGGCATTTGGGTGACATTGTGTTTTATATAAAATTTATCTTTCTGGCTGCATCAAAAAGCAACGCTGCCTTCCAAACGGCACGCTGAGTTTTTAATGACAGGCTTGCCTTGCACTGCAAATATATTCAATAATGGGTTGTGACCACTTCAACCTCGAGCCGCAGCGAGTATAACTGGCATCTGTCTGCGGAGACATATTCAGCCACAACGCACCAACTAAGATTTAGTTTTTGTGCATTCTTGCAGCCTGAGGCGTTACAGGATCTGGACGTCAGCACAACGAACTGCACCAAGACATGACATGCGACAGGTTTCACCCCAGAGACATTATAATATTTGTCTCAGAATTGCAATTGATCAACACTCAGAGACTGTGGTTACATTTTTAATTGCATGTGTTACAGAGTTCCTACACAGGTTTTCCTGTGTGTTTTTTTTGCAAACATTTCCTGTAAATGTTAATTACATTATGAAGTCCAGAAACACACATATTCATACTCTTGTTTCTWTTTCTCAGATTTTATTCAGACCTAAGAAACACTAAAAGCAGACTCATAAGACTTTGTAGGAATTAAATGCTCTGCACAGAAAAGGAAAGACAAAAGTGCACTTCAACTCAAATCTTCCTAGTTCAACATAATTTGAATACCTGCATAATGAGAAGTGCAACGTAGATAGAATGTCTCCAGTTTGTATTGCACAAAATCCAAAACCAGTTTCTCCACTAGTTGTTTTTTAGGTGATGAAAACTGAACTGGACCCTTGAACTGTTTGGAATAAGGTCAGGGTGTTTGGATTGGCTAAATATGATCAATAAAGCAGAAAAATCCCTTCTTCCTATGAATTCATAGGAATGAAAATGAAGCAACCGAATCCCCCCCGCCCTTCTTTATTCTGTCTCACTAACATGTGAAGTGCCTTTGTTAGCAGTGTGATGGTTACACGCAAGTGTTACATTTTTTTGCACYGTTTTATTTTCAAGTAAGTAACTTTGCATTGTTTTACATCTAATTTTGATTTTACATGCAACACGTTGGTTCCTTTAATACAAATGCAGGTCATTTTTTTCACAATAAATGCTGTTAAATAGAGCAGTTAATCAGAGTCACCACCGCACTTCAGAACAGATAAAATCTTTTAAATTTGCAATTCTGGATCCATTTTTCTCTCTCTCTTTTCTTAAACAAATTTTGTCTGGGTGATTGTCTGGATTTGTGGCCTGAAGCAGCTGAAGTGAATTTTTKTAAAACTACAAACTTACCTGTGCAGGTGTGTCTGTGTCATTCATTGGTTGCCCATCAAATCTGAACCTGATTTGGCTCATTGACAGTCCCTAGAAAAAAGAAAAAATGTGTCATTCATGTCAAAATTACTCAATGGGCAGTAAGGGTGTCTTATCATACTAGTTCAAAATGATCTCCAAACAATATTGTTAATCACACTTTCTGAGACAATTTACCATCCAGAAATAAAGTGTGACAAGCCTATGTACAAGACATAGCTATAAAAACATTTTTTAAATAGGAGATTTGAATTAATTTTATGATTCTTATTCATTTAAAAAAGGACTGTACTTGTGACATAATTCACCACTCAGAAAGAACAAAAAGAAAGCTACGACCATAATGAAGAGCTGTCATAACAATTATAAAGCTTCTATTTCACAATGAATTAGACCTAAATATGTAGATGAAAACCTGCACTTAACGCCAAATAAGTGCATGTAAAATAATCACATCACACATAATGGTCAGTAATAGTCATAGTGGCTCTTTTACTACTAATGTTATAACCCTGAAACAAAATTACAACAAATTATCTCCATAGGATGATAAAGTGCAACAACTCAGCATCGTAGCTTTGTGTTGAACTGATGACCGTGGCAGTCTAAAATATTAAAATCCTTGCTGTTTCAAGAATACTCTGCTCCGATGTTGTTAATAACAAATGTTTTGACAAGCGGGGAAAACGCCCAGGTGTAACTAATAACATTTGCTGACAGGTCTAATCCTCAAGCGCTAGCAAAACATGCTAGATGTTTTAGAAAATGAGCCAAAGCTATTAGTTTCCATGAGTGTTTCTGACAAGGCAAAAAGGTATGAACTTCACACCTGAGTGGAAAAAAAAAAAACGTGAACTGTTCACTTTAACACCACTAGCTAAAAAAAAGGGGTGCTTTTGAGTTTTTTGTGTGATGACATCAGGTCATGCTCACCTGTCTGTCGCAGTAGGCCTTCATGAGTTTGATAAGCGGCGTGTGTCTTTTGATCTTGAACTGCACGACAGAGCCATCCTGACCCGCTACCTTTAGATTGATGTGCTCATTGTTTTCCGTCTTGACACCCTCCTGAACAAGAAAATAAATAAAAAAGAGAAAACACGTGAGTACACAAACAAATTCAGAGCTGGAATTTTGATTTCATTGTCTGAAGATTACCAAACTAAATAATCTTGAAAGCAGATGTTTTTACGAACCAAAACATTTAGAAAATRAAAACTTAAAAGACACAAAAAGCAGCACCATTTTCTGTTTAACTGAATGAAGCAGTTTAAATGCAAGCAAAAATTTACAGCGGGTAAAATAAGTATTGAATACGTCACCATTTTTCTCAGTAAATATATTACTAGAGGTACTAATGACATGAAATTTTCACCAGATGTCG